CATCCCCGGCCAATAGTAGACTCGCTGAATGAGGGCGAGCGTTTTGTGAAACCCCAGATGCATGAGTCGTTCATGGGCAGCCAGGACGACCCTACCCCGTACAGCAACCGGCACCACAAGCATGTGACGCCGGGACATGTAGTCCCACTTCATCAAGAGGCGCTGTCTGCACACCCAGGAACCGACCCCCGTTTCCCCTCCCTCGGGATCGTCAACCTTCCGACGTAGCGCGAGTAGGGAGCTGTCGGACATTTGCAGACGGCCCCACTCGATGAGAGGCAACGCTAACAGCGAGTCCCTCCCCGTGGGAGCGTCGACCCCCGTAGTATCCGTGGCGGCGAGCACAACTTCCGCGGGGACAGCGACAGAGGGTTTACACCGCGCCGATCCTAACAGACATGCGCATTCCGTACGCGGCGGCAACCGCGACAATGCATCCGCATTCGAGTGGCGCAACCCCTTGCGGTAAATCGTCGTGAATTGGTAGTCCTGAAGGACCTCCAACCATCGGGACAATTGGCCGGATGGCTGCGCCACCCGCATAGCGTATTGGAGAGCCGCATGGTCCGTGCGAACCGTAAAATGACGGCCATAAAGATACGGCCTGAATTGCTGTATAAAAAACACAATCGCCAGCAATTCACGACGTGTCACGCAGTAGCATTGTTCCGCGGGGGACAGAACCCTGCTACCGTAGGCGACCACCCGTTCGACCCCCCCGACCACCTGTGAGAGCACTCCCCCAATACCCGTGTTACTGGCATCCGTGTCGAGCACAAACGGTTGCGTGAAATCGGGGTAACACAAGGGGGGAGCCTGCACCAAGGCGTCATGAAGGGAGCAGAACGCGGCCTCCTCTTCCGACCCCCAGTGAAACCGCACCCCTTTAGCCGTCAAAGCGTGCAGGGGCCTGGCTATGGTGGCAAACTGCTTGACAAAACGACGGTAATAGGAGGCGAATCCTATGAAACTGCGGACTTCAGTGACAGAGGTCGGCGTTGGCCATGAGCTGACGCATTTCGTCTTAGCAGGGTCTGTCGAGATCCCTGAACGGCTAACGATATGGCCCAAATACCTGACCGATTCCCGAAGCAGAAAACATTTAGCCGGTTTAAATTTAAGCTTAGCGGAACGCATCCTGAGAAACACCGCTCTCAGTCGCTGGAGGTGCTCCTCAAAAGTCCGGCTGAAAACGATGATATCATCGAGGTAAATCAAACAGGTGTCCCATTGGAGGCCTGACAAAACCAATTCCATGAGCCTCTGGAACGTGGCAGGAGCGGAATGTAAACCCATGGGTAATCGGTTGAATTCAAATAGGCCTCCCGGTGTCCGGAAAGCGGTTTTTGGTTTAGATTCGTCATCGAGGGGTAATTGCCAAAATCCCGAAAGCAAATCGAGCGTCGAAAAAAACTGTGCTCCCGCCAAGGCATCCAGAGACTCATCCATCCTGGGGAGCGGATACGCATCGGCCATTGAGATTTTGTTTAGGCGGCGGAAATCGACACAGAACCACAAGGACCCATCCTGTTTTTTAACCAAGACGATAGGAGCACCCCACGGACTGGAAGAGGGCGCAATGATGTCGGCCGCCAACATGTCATTAACTGCCGACTGCACATGCTCCTTCTCGGCTGGACTGAGCCGGAAGGGATTCTGTCGAATAGGGGCCGCGTCCCCAGTAGCTATGTGGTGGCGCAACAGGTCTGTGCAGCCAATATCATACTTGTGCCTGCTAAACACGTCAGCAAACTCGAGTAGCAAGCCCCTCAATGCACCCGACTGCACACTGGACAAGTTACTGGACCCGGCACACAACGAGTCCAACCATTCCGTCCCCTCCTCACTATGAGAATGCGTATCGGCACTCGAATCGGCGTGAGCAACGAGCTGTTCCTCGACGGGTAGTGGCGCGGCGTGAGCCAGCACCGTTCCCTGCGTAATCACGGCCGGCCGCGACCCCGTATTCAGGACCATAACGAACGGCTCACTGTCCCCCCTCACCATGGTCTGGGCCACCGCTAAGTCGAGGCCCCCTTTAGCTCTGTTAGACGGCCCCAACAGAACTCCCTGTGCCCCCGCATCTGCCCCGAGGGGTTTCCTCAACCGAAGGGGTACCAACATTTGCGAACCCGGGGGCACCCGTACAGTCTGGGTTGCCAGCGCCTGCACCGTCGCACAAACCGTGCGTATCTTAGTAGGACTCTTCAAAAACTCAACCCGCCGTCCCGACGGAAGCTCAATGCAGGCCTGGTCTATGAGAATTTTGATGGGCATTTTAGACAGAAAGTCCGTGCCTAGTAAACAAGGAACGGCCAACGAAGATGATACAAAAATAGAACCCGCCAATTTTATATCGCCAATACAAATAGTCGCCCGAATCTGGCCGATGATTCCCAAAGATCCCCCGTTTGCCGCGTAAAACGGTACGTCCACCGGCAGAAGGGGTCGACATTGGACGGGAAGAATGTTATAAATAAGGTCCGAAATGATAGTGGCCGACGCACCCGTGTCCACAAGCACCCGGACCTCAACCCCGTCAATGTACCCCGTTACCATGGACGACCCGGCCGACGCAGCCACTATCCTGTGGGCCAATTCGGACCATTCGACTGCTTTCGGGCCGTGTACGGACCCCTCTCGCCGAACCGAACCCCCGGTGCCCATACGCGGTCCCCCCACCGCTAAGCGGCGACCCGAACGTGCCGTGCATGTGGACCGAACGTGTGAGGTGCCGCGACTTGCCGGGTTCAGCTGGGATGTCTTTAGGCCCTGGTCGTCGTCCGGACGTGGTCCCGCGGTACGCTGACGTGGGGCCCGGCACCCGGACGCGACGTGGCCCCGAAGGCCGCAGTTGTAGCAGACGACGAGGGACGTCGTAGGTTTCGGTTGCTCCAGCTTGCGGTGTGAACGTGTGGGCGAACGACCTCCCGTTCTCCACTCCCCCGGTCTTGAAACGGCGAAGGCCTCCTCCCGCGGTACAGCAGGCTGAGGGCCGATGATCGTGGCGGCCGGTGCCCCGTTCCCCACCGATGCGCAGACGACCGTCGGCTTTCGCTTTAGGACTTCGTAAGCGTGAATACTTGTGGCAATCCCCAGAGAGCAAATGTCCATCTCGTCCGCCGTATTAATGGGAACTCCCAATCCGTGAGCCAACGCCAGCAGCTGCTCCGTCACCATGGCGTCCTTCCCCTCCTTGTCCATGCGGGGAAAAGCTGAGTCTGCCAGGGCGAGCAGCGCCGTGCGATAGGCGAGCGTTGTTTCTCCAACCACCTTCCGCCGATCGTAGAACTGGTGGCGACAGGTCGAGGGTGGCCCGAACACCTTGGCCATCAGATGTAGCGCGGCCTGGAGCGTTGAGCGGGACGACCTCGGGGCCGATGTGAAGGCTGCAAGCGCGTCGTCGTCGAGCATCGCTGGCAGCGCGCGCAGGGCAGTGGTGTCGGACCACCCCGACATTTCTTGATGCGCGACGAATCGTCGCTGGAAGGCTCCCCAGTCGCCCCCGTCCGCCTTGAACACCGACAGCGCGGGCAATCGTTGCTGGAGGACTCGATCGCCGTCGTCGTCGTTGGAACGATTTTCCCGCGCGCCGCTGTGGTTGTAGAAGATGTCGGCTCCGTCTGCAGGCGCATAATGGAGATCTCCGGCGCGCGCCGATGACGTGGGCTGCGCTGTGTGGGGATCTCTGGCCACGTGGTGTCCGCGCTTCCCGCCAAGCGGTGGCGGGCCCTCAAAAATGGCGCCAACTCCAAAACTTTTGGCGCGAAACGCCGTCTGGCGGGATCCCTCCAGCCGCGCCGCCTCCTCCAACCCCGCAGCCGTACCACCGCCCGCTGGAACGGAGATCTCCGCCAAGATCGCAGCGGCGGCGAGCAGCAACTCCGCCAGGCGGGAGTGTGCGTCCTGCAGGCTGGTGTCGGAGGCAAGCGGAGCATCGGCCATTTCTGCGAAGTGCTGCATCGGCGGCAACTCCTCGTCCTCTCCTCCCGAGGGTGGTGTTTCCGGTACGCCGTCGTCTCCCCGGTCTTGCACGTGGGAACGAGAAGTCTTCCTTGTGTCCATTCTCCTTGAAGACAGGTTTACTTCTGACGCCAGTTGTAAAGTAGTAACTCGGCAAAAGACGACTTCACGGGTAGCACACTCTTTATTTTCACCAACTTGTAGTTACACGGATGACTAACACCCTACTTCGTTACACGGGTGACTAACACCCTACTTCGTTACACGGGTGACTAACACCCCACTTAGCTACTCGGTGACTAACACCCACTTAGCTACACGGGTGACTAACACCCACTCAGCTACACGGGTGACTAACACCCACTCAGCTACACGGGTGACCAACACCCACTCAGCTACACGGGTGACCAACACCCACTCAGCTATACTGACACGGGCTCTTACGCCCCGTAGCCTTCCGGGACACACCCAGCCGGGGTGCCCGTCTCGGCTCGGGGTACCACCGTCCCGACCCACACGGGCGTCGGACTACGGCCCCCCCAGTCTCGGCTCCGAGCCGCACAGGGCCCCGGTCCTCACAAGGACGGCGGGACTAGGGGTCTCGGGCCACTACCTCCTCCACCCCGTCTTCGGTCTTCAACTGGTTAACACTGACCACGAGTGCTCTTGCGCGTCTCCCTTTATACCCCTCCTGCGGACGTCGCTGAGAGCACCCACTTATCTGACCAATCACTGCGCACTCGCTACGATCCTCTTTTCCCAGCTTGTGTCAGCGCGCCTTACCACCGGCGCGCGCGTCCATACCACGCCCACATCGCGTGCCCAACCCCGCGCCCCATGATCCATCACTGTCGGCGCACGTCAATACCACCACTACATATACATTCCCCCCACGTGACCCTGACTCCGGCCTTCCCATACTACCCCGCTGGCTCCGCCCCCATTCACCTTGCCTCCCATTGGAGCAGAGGTGACCGGTGGCCCCTCCCACACGCCCCGCAGACCAGGCTCCGCCCCCCAATACCCCGGGCCGTGTGATTGGACCAGAGCACAGAAACAACTACATTTCCGCTCGCATTACACATGGAAACGCTGACTCGCGTTAAACAGGCGAAAAAAAATATAAGCACAACACTGAGGTAAATACTGAACAATTTAATGTCCTCTTCTCCCCCCACACCCCAATTTATGCAGGTACTACTCTAGAGTCGGTAGCCACTACTACAGTCGGTAGATAATACTGTAGAGTCAGTAGATACTACGGTAGAGTCAGTAGATACTACTACAGTCAATAGATACTACTGTAGAGTCAGTAGATACTACTGTAGAGTCATTAGACACTACCCTTCTATCTGGCAACAAAACCAATTTTCATATTTTTTACTGGCAAATGAGGTTCCAGTGGTGTAAATGCTTACCCCGAGCTCTCATACTCTGATGGTGCATTGTCTTTGAGTTGTGCGCCTTTTGGCGTCATCTGGTCCAACCCATGTGAGACTAGGCTCTAAGGAAAGCTGTCTCGGGTGTGGACCAATCAACTTCAAGGACAGTGCATACATTATCAGAGTTATGTTTTTTGTTTGCATTATGACTGCAGGTATTGTGGTCTATGCAAACATGACTCCTTGTAAAACAGGTGTCAGTTTTGTTGCCAGATAGAAGAGTAAAAAAACAATTATCAGTTTAAGACTTCTCCACAAATCTGGCTGTGGCCTGATGAAGCAAGTTGTAATTACTGGCGAGACGTCGTACTCAGATTGTTAATGTTGTGGCTTGGCTCTCCAACACACCGGTGTGCTGTACAAGTGACGAATTGGCACGTTCTGTTTACGTGACAACCCTTACTAGTTGGCTGTGTCAGGTGGTGGCGGGTTTTATTGACAATCCTCATGGAATTTTCGTTTTGTGCCAAAGTGACCCATTTGCTGCCAACCTGCTCTATGATAAAGTTCCCTCCTACTCTACCTTGACTGCACAAAAAATGGAAACGACATGCTGGTGAAGGTGAATCGGATGCCTTAGGAAGAGTCTACACAGTTCATCCCAACAATCAGGAGCGCTACTTTCTTCGAATGCTTCTTCATGTTTTCAAAGAGCCAAGACCTTTCCAAGACCAAGGAACAGTGGAAGGAGTTGTCTGTCAAATACACAGGGAAGCTTGCAATCTTCGTGAAATTCTTGAAGATGGTCAGCATCTTGATAACGCTATGACAGAAGCTTCTGTTAGTCAGTCCCCGTCTCATCTGATATTGCTCGTCTACATCATTCTACAAGTTTGCAGCCCATCTAACCCCATGGGACTCTGGAAAGGCACGAGTCAAGACATCCTCCACAGAGCTCAAGGAGAAAATCCCAACTTCGTGGTGAACTTTTCTGATTTCATCTTTAACCAGGCCCTCATCCTCCTTGAAGACAAACTTCACCATACTCTTTGGTTATTTTCTGTAAATACTTTACCGAAAGAACCAAAGAGTATGGATTCCTACAGTCACGAAAGCTTCAAATTCTAAACATCACCCTCCAGGGACAACCAGCATGGCCTTGCCCGAGAGCTCCTACGTGAAATGTCCTATGATGGTTTTTGAGCTTCTTAACTTTTGAGTGCTCGGATTGGCCGAAATTGGCGCCTGCGTGCGTAACGTAAACGTACCGTTAATCACAATGTCAACGTTAGTCAAAACCATAGGGTCCTGTGGGAGGTAAAACGTTAACCAAAAAAACGTTAACCGATGTCACTTAACCGAGGGACTCCTGTATACAGGCATACCTTGTATAGCGCTCGAGATGCATTCTTGGTAAACAGAGTTGCTATAAGTGGAATGCCTGCATTTCCTGTCAGTTGTCATTGTCGCCATCACAATGACCCATGTCGGTTTCTGAGTTCTATGTCAAAATTATTGCCATTAACCCCAAAACAACTCAGCATCGTTGTATTGGCTTTGTAATATACGTTGTTGGGTTTTGCTAAAAAAACATCTACGGAGGCATGTGGGTTATCAAAATTTTTCCAGAGTAGCACTCAATCATTACGATTTTTTAATATACATTTGTACATCTGAATTGAATAGATCAATAATTCGGGGAGTAATACATATGTAACGGGTTCCGGAGACACTTGTAGAGGTAACTTCTTTATTACAATCCAACACTCCAACACTCCAACAGTCCGACAGTCCTGATACTCTGTAACAGCTCCCAGGTCCACAGCCTAGGTACACAGCCTAGATACTCTACTCTGGCTACGCTCTGGAACTCGCCCTCACAAGGTCGTAGAGTCGGGAGTTCCAGAGTCCCACCACTGGCTCTCACAGCGTCCCAGGGTCCTCAGATGGCTGGTCTTGGGTCTTGGGTCTTGAGCTACGACTGGCCCTGATCGTCCAGGGAGCTCCCCTTTTATAACTAGTCCCCAACGAGGGGTGGGGCCGTGTGCGCCCCCAGATCTCCCACAGAGCACACACAGCCCCCCCACCTTTGGCGGCGCCAAGGCTTAAGCGCCTGGGACACCCGGGAACCCAACGCCTGACGCCAAGAGGCTTAAGCGTCTGACCCGCCTGGGAACCCACGCCTGGCACCAAGAGGCTTAAGCGCCTGGCCCGCCCAGGGTCCCAGAGCCCCCAGCAGCCCCTCCCTTCTTATGTCACTACACATATCATCTTCAAATCAAATTCAATATATCTTAATTTGTGCATACAAAACTGTATATGAAGTGCATTATGCCTTGTAAAAATAGAATACAGGTGCATCGACTTAGCATTTAGTTGACAACAAACCCTTGCCCATCGCCGGGGTTATGTTCCTGGTAAAAAGCCGCAATCGGAAAATCTGCCGCCTTCCCCAAACTCGAAGGCAAATGGTAAAACTGGAGTTTGGCTCACTGCTCCTAACGCATGATAGAAAAGAAAATCGCGGGCGGCTGAACCTCACTGCCTCCTCAATCGAGGCTGGAAACACCACGTGACCCGGGACCCACATTGGGACACTTGAGAGAAGAGACGGGATACTCGAGACAGGATGGAGATAAGATGGAGACAAGACGGAGATAAGATGGCACCGCGTGTGTCTTTCCGCGGCAGCAGCATCATCGCGAGCAGTGCAGTCACAACGCGTACAGAAATCTCGTGATCAACCGCGAATGGTCCAGCCACTGCGGCGCGATCGGCGAACTCTGTACCTCAATAGCCTTGGCACGAAACTGCAAAACTGCAATAGCTGAACCCGCGAGAGGGAAGAGTTTGCTGTACATTAATTAAAAAAAAACACTTTTTTAAAGTAGAAAATAAAAAAAAGGAAAAACCTATTCTTGTATAATTAACATATCGGTATTATATCACGGTAGAAGGAATCAAATTCCTGTAGTAAAAAGCAACTCCAGCAAGAGCAGCAACAGCACCCAGAGCAGCAATGACTCCAATTACGATGCCAGCTACAGTTGATGGAGCTGGAGTTGAAGCTGGACTTGGCGTGGGTGCTGCGTCTGTCGGTTCTGTTAAACACAAACGCAGCCGACACGGAAACACGTGAACAGTCAACGTCTTCTTCCTCTTCCTGCCATGTCCCCCTCCTCTCGTGCGGTCTCTGCCCTGCAGCTCCTCCTGCTCTGCTCGTTGATGGCGAGGGCCACCTCCGCGTCTACTCGCCAGTCCCTCGCATCTGCCGCATTCGCCACTTCTACTCCCCTCGCTCTCGACCTGCCCTCTGTCTCTGCCTTGGTGCCTCCACGTGCATTGCACCTTTTTTTACTAAGCCAACCCCAATCGTGTGAGCCGAATCCCTCTATCCGCTCGAGTGAGATGAGCGCCACCACTCCCGCATCCTTCCCCAGTTCTACAGTTCTGACCGATCCAGTCCTGTGATCGCTGAGATCCATCGCACCATCCTCGCTTCTGTGCTGCACAGTGTCTGCTCCTCCTGGTTGTCAGCAGCAGCAGATGCGCTGTGGCTTTATTGAACACGTGTACTGGCTCTACGCGGTGCACCTAATGCACACTGTTTTCTATAACACGGGAGGTGATGTTTTGGCTGGACGCTGCTAAGACTCTCATCTCCGTGTCGAAAAGTAGTGCCGTGAGACTGCTTCATCCATTGCAAGGTGTGAATGAATCGACTTTAAGAACGATTTAATTTCCATGCATGTTTTAGTGTGCGTGTGTTTTTGAGAGTTTTTCGTGTGAAAAAGTAACACACTCAACATGCACAACGATGCAATGGGAATGTTTACATAGTGCCGCAAGCATCTCGCCGTCCAGTCATTGAGGACTTTAGACGGCTGCCGAGATGGCGAATTGGCGACAGAGTCAGGGGAGAGCGTCGGGTTGGGAATTCATCGTTAGGGGAGAGCATTGGGCGCGAGTTCTGCGGTGCGGGAATGAGACGGGGGTTTCATGTTAAAGAGTGTACACCAGAGGTCGCAACCGGGTACCCGATACCCATACCCTACCCGATACCCGGCTACCCGTACCCAGCCGGGTACGGGTAACCGCTTGCGACCCTGGTGCGGCCGGGTATGGGTAGGCCGTGAGTCACTGGTGAGTAACCATTTGTCACTCATTTCGGGTAGGGTACGGGTACGGGTAGGGAACGGGTACCCGTACCCGGCCGGGTACGGGTACGGGTAAGGAATCAAAACCCGTTTGCGACCTCTGGTGTACACACGCGAGAAATGGAGAGTGACTCGGCATCCTTTAGTACAATAACAAGGGCAGACATCTTGTAAAATTAGTAACACAGAGGGAGGGTTGATCATTTCGGACCCAGGAAGGAAACCCTAGTTTTCCCACAATGTCTATTATCTGTCGAACGCGGTTCTGCCTAACACGTCATTTTCTAGGAACGTAACCCCCCCGCGTCCGGCGAGGCCTGCCTGTGACTGTTAAATAGTGACGGTGCTATAATAACCGAGCCTAGAGGGACGCCATTGTTCATGGTTCTCTTGTGGCTATGTTCACTGGTGAGGTGTTCACCCTCAACGCACGATTTGCTGAGCATCGTGTCCATTAGGTGAACGGTAGAACAACTTTTGATGATTTTTTGGGTCAACTTCGGCAGCAGGCAATAACGCCAAACGGAGTCATTGACAGACAGCAGGAGCGGTCAATCAACGCTGTGCCGGTTTCCTGTTGACGCCGCAAATCGCATTGCAGCTCCCGCATCGGCACGTGAAGTGAATCCGAATCAGAAGCGTATTTCCCGAGTAAAGCCCCTTTGAGCTAAGAAGCTTTTTTTTAAACATCAAAGCATTCCACATCCGACGAGTGGACAACAATCTCATGGGACACAGACAGAGACAGGAAATCAAGCTATCAATTGGCTCACGTAGATAACTCAGCAAATAGTCGAGTTTCTTATACTACAGGATGTGACAAACACCTTTTATGTCCTGTGCCAACAGAGTGAATTTTCGTGGTAAATCTGGACAATGGAGATAATTTGAATTTTCGCTTAGCAAGAATGATAAAGCAGTCGGTGTTAAATAGATACAGGGATGACATAATGCAAACCTGGTTCATTGTGAACGTTCAGCTGCAGATACCCGATGTCTTGCATGCTTGGCTTGTCGTATTGAGAAACCGTGACCTCACAGCGATATTGCCCGGCGTCGTGGGTTTGGATGTCGCTGATGGTGATGGAGGCGTTACACGTGGACTCATCACCCAGCCACGTCACCTGCAATGGCCTGAGGCTTCTCTTGCTGTATTTGATCTTATAAACCTGTGGTCAATAAAGGTGAGAACACGTACAGACAAACGATGCGATTCAAGGGTGGGATTCTCTATACATATGTAGAGGTATTACGTACCGGAGTGTAGCAAGCTGTTACGTTGCGGTGTCTACATCACGGTCCGTACGTGGGGTGTCTACATTAACGTCCGCATACAGCCCCGCCCCTCGGGGGGGCAGTTGGGTATATAAGGCGGTGCGCGAGAGAGCTCCAGGCAGTCGTTGGAGCAGAAGAGAATGAAGAGCCAGTGAAGATTGAAGACCAGCTAGCTAACCCTGGGACTACCTTGACTCGCTGCTAATGTAAGAGCCGAGCAGGGCAAGCCAGGGGCGACCTCAGAGCAGCGAGGTCTGTGTCCTTGTGAGGGCCAGGCTCGTGTGGATGAGGGTCGGACCTGAGCCGAAGCTGGGCCAGGTCAGTTAGCCTCCACTAGGATGGCCTGGGTTAGAGGAATGTAGGAGCTAACGGGGAAACGTTAGCTGAGGGACACTGCCTCGGATAGAACCGGGTGAAGGGGCAGTTCGTTACCCCTTCCAGTGTTAGGGTACGCTACGTGCTGTATAGTAGAAATTGTTAATAAATACGTGTTGCCTCCGTCGACGTCTCCTGCGCTACTTACGCCGTGACACATATGATACACATGCTCATTGTAAAAAAAAATATATTTCATCAGTAACGTTCCCTATAACAGTAAAATAAAATAACCCGACAATTTGGGCAATGGCTCTTCTTCAAAGTAGAAGGAAATCGAGCAGAGAAATAGATACAATTATAGTGTGATATTTCAAGGTAAAATGCGATGTCTGTAAAATGTTGAGGTTGAAAGCCCATGGCCCATCAGCAGTGGAGAGTGATAAACCTTCCACTACCACATATTAGCATGAAAGGTCGCTAATAATTACGTTTTATTCATTTTTGCGTGCAGGGTTTAGTCAGAGGGGGGAAATATGGATTTGCAACTGTAATAGTAACGCACCTTCTCATTGTGTCCGCCTATGGTCCTGAACCACTCCACCAGCGTCCATGAAACGTCACTGATGGTGCAGGTGTAAGAGCAGGGCAGGAGAACCGTGCTGCCTACTCTTGCCTTTACCTCAACTGGGGTGACAACGGCCAGGTCTGTGGACAAACCCACGATGTTCACATTAGCATTGGGATGGGACTTCTGGGGGAGGTGCTGTGCTCACAACAGAGAAAGGGCAAACACTTTCCAGGACACTAAACATCTCATTGGATGACTAGCAGAGCAGTGCAATGCTGCATATTAGAGAACGGTCCACGGAAGTGGATATCTTAAAGCTACCTCTGAAGTCCCCTTAAGTGGTGCCACGGTGGCGAGGTGTTAACTACCTCGCCTGGTATACAGGGGGTCGTGGTTTGGACCCCGACGCTGACGCCTGCTGTATATTTTAAGATTGCATGTTCTCCCCGTGGTCACATGGATTTTTCTCCCTATTCTCCGGTTTCCCCTTCCATATTTAGAATCAAATGACGCGTCTGGAGTATTTGGCTGCTATAGAAGTCCACGCGATAAGCCTTTTTGTTGAGCTGCTATCAATTGTGGCCAGGTCACTTCTGAAAACAACTACATAGCTCAGTGGGCCTGGTAAAATAAAAAGTAGTTTAGTTTAGGTACCATTGAAGCCGCACAGCAGGGAGGATCGTTTACCCATAGTGCACTGCAAAAGCGAATCACGTTTGATGAATGAGATCCAAACAGATATGAAGGAAAACCTGCCCAATTCGGTATTGTCAAACGCGTGTTTCTGCTCTACACGGTTTGCCTGAGGTCGGTCTTTCTGGAACGCTGGGATGATGGTCCGGCTCTGCATGGGTTAATGCTCAGTTTAACACAGAGGCTTCCGCGACCAATATTATCAAGAAGAGTTTTTTTTTTTGCGCTAGATCACGTAAATAAAGTGTCATTAAAACCGCCACCACCCGGCACAGCCTTATTAGTAGGTTTTCTAATCCGTTACTACAGCACACCGGTGTGTTGGAGAGTAAATGCACAATATTTACAATTTGTGTATGACGTTTATCCAGTAAGTATAACTAGCATCATCAGGCGACAGCCAGATTTGTGGAAAAATCCTCCTGTTTCGTTCTTAAATAGAGGGATAGATGTGGTGTCGTGACTTGTGAGCCCCTCAGATGCGACGGCCAGAGATTCAAAGATATGTGGATGACACATTGATGGTCTGGCCACACGGCAAAGATACACTCGACGAATTTCTAAATCATCTCAACTCGCCAATCATCTCAACTCACTATGAAAGTGGAAGTTGACAGAACAATGTTTACTGAAAGAATACGCACACTGCATCTGAATGCAGTCACACCATCACCCTACAGACATTCTCTCTCATCAAGACGCTGATACATCGGGCTAAGAAAGTGTCAGATGGAGATAGTCTGAGAAGTGAAATTAAACAGGTTAAAGAAGCGCTGCAATTGAACAATTACAGTGATGCACAAATCAACAGGGCACTGAATGACAAAACCAAATCAAATAACAAGAGCATTGAAACTGCCCAAGTAATTAAAATAATCAAAATAGCGTGCATTGCGGGAGTAACTGATAAACTAGCCAGATTTTTTGAAAAACTAAACAAACATTCTAGTCAGATTTGGCATGGTACATAAAATACAAAAACTAATATCTGGTAGTAATAGGTTTTTACCCTTTAAACTGGTACAAAAACTGACATCTTTATACAAGGCATCATGTTTGCAATAACCACAACACAAGCAGTCAAAATGAAAAAAAAGAAATAACTCTGATAATGATATGCACGGTCCTTGAAGTTGATTGGTCCACACCCGAGACAGCTTTTCTTAGAGCCTAGTCTCCATTGGTGTTGGACCAGATGACGCCAAAAGGCGTACAACTCAAAAACAGCGCACTATCAGAGTATTGAGAGCTCGGGTAAGCATTTACACTATGATACCTCCTTTACCAGTGGCAAAATATAGTAATAGGTTTTTACCCTTTAAACTGGTACAAAAACTGACACCTTTATACAAGGCATCAGGTATGCAATAACCACAACACAAGCAGTCAACTGGTCCAACACCAATGGAAACTTGGCTCTAAGTAAAGCTGTCTCGGGTGTGGACCAATCAACTTCAAGGACAGTGCATATCATTATCATTATCAGAGTTGTTTCTTATTGTTTGCATTTTGACTGCTTGTGTTGTGGTTATTGCAAACATGATTCCTTGTATTAAGGTGTCAGTTTTTGTACCAGTTTAAAGGGTAAACACCTATTACTATATTTTTCTACTGGTAAAGGAGATATCATAGTGTAATATCTGGTACTAAAGATCTATTACCAAACCTATCAACAGAAGGTGTGTACCGGATTAATTGCTCTTGTAGAAAATGCTATGTTGGTCAGACAGGACGAATGATCAGCATGAGACTAAAATAACACCAAAGGAATATTAAATACTCCTACATACAACTGTCGGTAGTGGCAGAATATGGGGGCCAACAAGGACACTCAATTGATTTTGATATTGTTGAAGTTCTGTGCAAAACTGGTTACTGCTAGCCAAGACCAATTAGATAATCTATCGAAATTTAGAGAAATAAAAATAATTTAACCGTCTGGATAACTAAAGACTTATTGCTGCTTGGAAGCGAATTATAAAATAATACATTGTTTAAATGCATGCCTATGTAACGTTCTTGAAGGAGACGGAGACTTCTTAGAGGCCACACGCTTTTATTCACCAATGCTTACTACACCTAACACAAGGGGTATACGGTCCCCTTACTCGTTCCCTGAGGAGCTACAGACTCCGGACTTGCCGGCTATCTCCCATGCTAGCCTAGCGTCCTCCGGCTGGGACCTAGGGGAGGCACACTGACCCGCCGCTGGCCCGGTGGGTCCCCGACCTCTGGTCGCTCGAGACCTTCGCCCTCACAAGGGCGGGAAGGCTGGGAGCCAGGGTCCTATCCAGGACCTATCTCCCCTGACCACTGGTTACTCTGAGCCCCAGCCCTGACAAGGGCTGGAAGGCTTGGTCCAGGGTCCTCGCTGTTTTCGGCCGACTTGGGTCTTCGTGTAGCAGAACCCCCAGAGCTCTCAGCGCTCTGGCTTTTATACCTGTTCGTGGCCGGTTTAACCAATCCCCGGCCACCTCTTGGACCCCTCCGATTGGTCCTTCCCAATCTGGCGTTTGGATCCTACCTCACCCTATTTGACCCTAACTGTTTGATTGAGCGGGAAACCCTTGTCTACCAACTGCTCTCTCACAGCTTGCGAACAGCGAGTAGTTATCACCACTACACCTATACAGGACACCATACGTCGATGGTGATTGGCTGTGAGCAGACATAACAGGTACTGCGATGTTCGTACACACAAACGATATGATGTACAAGAACATTGTGCATTCATAATGTACACACATAATGTGTGATGATTACCATATTAATAACCCAACCGGTGATGGATACCCGTTGTAATTTATATGCATTCATTAATCCCCACTCTGACCTTCATACCTGAGGGGCTCGTAAGTTGACGACATCACAATTATCCGTCTATTTAAGAACGAAACAGGAAGATTTCCCCACAAATCTGGCTGTTGCCTGATGATGCTAATTGTAATTACTGGCAAAACGTCGTACTCAAATTGTGAATGTTGTGCATTTACGAATTTCCATGTTCTGTTTACGTGACAAACCTTACGAATTGGCTGTGTTGGGTGGTGGCACGTCTAACGACACATTTATATTTACGAAATATAACCATAAAAACTGTGAGAACGACATATTTACATGTACGTTTTTGTGTGTGTTATAAAGCAACACACTCAACATGTACAACACAAATGTTCACATATTGACGCATGCATCTAGCCATCAATTCGCTGATGACGTCATACGAACGCCAAGATGGCGAATCATTTAACATTCAAGTGACAGTGTTAGGGGTAAGCGTTGTGCGTGAGTGCCGTGGTACGGAAAGATCAGTGTAGATGGGGGTTTTGTGTTGAGGGGGGAAAGTGAAAACTGAAGAGTGCACACACACGCAAAAAATGGAGAGCGAATCAACATCCATTTAGTACAAAAACTCAGTGGCTGCTCGTCAATAGAGGGCGCAGGGGCGCCGCCCCCATCAATATTCAAGAAATATACATATACAAAATTTATATAAAAATACATAAATAAAATATTTTTTTCATACGATGTGCCGGCTGGTAGTAAGAAAAGCATCAGCATTTAATAAAAACTGGCTTTAATCGGTCAACTATTTTCTATGTTTTTCAATGTGTTTCATGCGGGGCGCCGGACAAATGGATGTCTATGTGAGACTTTAAATTTTCGGACAGCATGTGACCTGAAGCTGGTCTCTAATTGGTTTCTTAAAGATTCTCCTCGGGGCGCAAGTCGTTGCGTCCCTGGCCAATCAGAATTGGATACATGTTATTTTATCCAATCTGATTGGTTCTCGTCACCTGTCATTCAAATTTACGCTCTGGGCCACTACTGCGAGTGCGCAGGCGACACCACTTTGACACTTGCTAGGCTGATCAATTTTTTTGTGTAAACAATGGCAGCAGTTCATCCAAATTCTGTAATTTATTTACAAAAAAACCCTTTCACAAGGCTTTCGCTGGAAGAAATAAAAAAGATAAAGGATCTCGGACCGGAACAACCCGATTTACAAATCCAGCAGCAGGCCAGTGACAGAGGACGAAGCTACACACGAAGCTTCACCCGCGCTTGTTATGAGAAACGGAGGTGGCTGGCTGGATGTGATGTTAGCAATTCTCTTTTTTGTTTTCCCTGTCTTTTATTTCAAAGTTTCGGCACTGAAGTTTTGTGGACAACGACGGGGGTAAGAGACCTCAAACATCTCTCTGACAAATGCAAACGTCATGAAAGTAGCCGCAGCCATATTGATAATAGCATGAAACTAACGTTTTTATGTTCAAGTAGGAAACATGCTTTTTGGTACTTTGGTCTGAAATGTATATAAAAGAGAAACATTTATGTTCAAGTAGGAAACATGCTTTTTGGTACTTCTTTTGGTCTTAAATGTAAATAAAGATCATCAAAATTTATATTCACGTAGTCAAAATGGTTTTTGGTACTGCTTTATATTTATTTGCCCCCCTCAATAAAATAAAAAAAATGCGCCCCCCCAAAAATAAATATCACCAGCCGCCACTGCAAAAACTAGCACAACGTTTTTTGGGGAATTTGTAAAGCAAAGAGCAAAGGAGTGATAATTTCGGACCCAGGAACGCAATCATTGTTTTCCCGTTAACGTGGTTTAGCCCAACGCGCCATTTTCTAGGTACGTAACCCCCGCGTTAGACGACCTCTGCCCGGTTTGTTTAACTGCCAGGAGCTTGGAATTAGCCAAATTAAGTGCAAAGTCAGATGACCAAATATAATGTTACAATGCTTGCGTAGTACTCTTTTTATTTCTTGAATAATTTCAACTCGATAATCCGTTGAGAAGGAACATCTGTTTTGCAAGGGTGCCCAGATGACCAGGTAAGATGATAAACTCATAAGACTTGATATCCGGATTGTATGCCAATTGAACACCGAAAGTGAAGATTCACAGGCAGGAGTTAAACACAGATGACCATGGTTCTAGGTCCACGGTTCTGTCACGTGTACGTAATCGTGTTGAACTTTTTTTCACACCGTACATAGCCAACCACGGAGGTGCAGAGGAAGGACAACAAACCAAACACGAAAGTCAAGATGTGGAGTTGTCGGGTGGATATTGTGTGTTAGGTGTGGGCTACATGACAGATGATGGGAGCAGTGAGTGGTAGGACAGAGCTATATAGGACGTGATACAAACCTGTTCGTGGGTGGACATTCAGCTGTAGATACCCAATGTCTTGCATGTTTTGGGGATACACCGTCACCTCACAGCGATATTGCCCAGAGTCGTTTGTTCGCAAATTACTGACGGTGATGGAGGCGTCGCACTTGGACACATTACCCACCCAGGTGGCCTGTAAAGGCCAGTGTCTGCTCTCTCCATCGGCGTATTGATAAAACTGTGGTCAATAAAGGTAAACGCAGCACACGGAGATCAAATGTGTGATATTGTTTCAGTGTAAAAATCGTTCAGATAAAACCCGAGAATGATTCTGTCTGCAGGGCTTGCAACTCAGCTGGATTAACTGTTGACAAAGAAGCTTCACGTGGAGACTGTTTGCAAAATGGCTGGCCCAAGCCTCAGCCCAGTCACGTGACCAGGGGTCCTCGATCTGAATAGAAAATAACAAACCTCTTCATCAGCGTTGGATATTGAAATTGCTCAAGGGTCATGTGACCAGGTTTCCTAACAAGACTATCAATTCCACGCTTGCACTTGCTGCAATTTAGTGGCAAATGGCGCACAGAACAGACAGAGAAGTAACTCACCCTCTCTTCACGCCCGTCTATGATGCTTAACCACTCCACCAGCATGTGGGTAATGCCACTGATTGTACAGGTGTAGGAGCAGGGCAGGATAAATGTAGTGCCTGCCATGGCGTTCATTTTATCTGGGGTCACAACCACGAGTTCTAGAGAAACCACACACCATGTCCACATTAGTATATTTTCTTATATAATATAAATGTATAAAACGTTTACGAAATATTAATCGGTAACAATGCGTTTTAAAAGTACAGAAAAGGCGGACCTCGTCCAACGCGGGGGGTTACGTTCATGGAAAATGCCATGTTGGGCACAACTTTGATCGACAGAAACAGACCTCATGGGAAAACTGTGGATGCCTACCTGCCTTCGAAATGATCACCCCCTCCCATCTCTGTTTAACTAATACTCACGTTTTTTTGGTTCTTTCGGTAAAGTCACGTAGAAGGGAAATAATAAAATAATAAAACGAAAACATAATAAAATACAATTCTCACGACGTTTCGGCCACAACGCAAGCAGCCGTCCTCAGGTGAAGAACAGTTCATTAAGAACAGGTCTGTCGGAAAGACAGCGTCATTCAGACGCTGTCTTTCCGACAGACCTGTTCTTCACCTGAGGACGGCTGCTTGCGTTGTGGCCGAAACGTCGTGAGAATTGTATTTTATTATGTTTTAGTTTTATTATTTTATTATTTCCCTTCTACGTGACTTTTCCGAAAGAACCAACAAGCTGAATCCCTGCAGTCACGAAAGCTTTAAATTGAAATTTAATACTCACGTTATTGTACAAATGGCTGCTGAGTCGTTCTCACGTCTTGTGAGTGTGTGTGTGCACTCTTTGTCAATTTAAACGCAACACAAAACCCCCGTCTCCATTCTTCCTGCACCACGGCACTCACACCCTACGCTCGCCACTAACACTGCCACTTGAACATTCAATGATTCACCATCCAGTCGTCCGCATGACTAATGTTCTCAATCACTAGATGCATGCGGTAATGTGTGAGCATTTTACGTTGTGCTGCTGTCCGTTTTGAGTGCATTACATTATCACACAAAAACATACCCACACGCGCACACAGACATACACGGTAAATTCATAATATAGGTATTGGTCGCGAAAGCCTACGTGTTAAAATACACGGTAAATACATCGTTCTTACAGTCGATTCACACACTCCAACGTACCCAGCACCCTCACGGCACTACCTGTTTTTGATGCAGATACGAAAATTTTCGATTTAAAGCTTTCGTGACTGCAGGGATTCATCTTCTTGGTTATTTCGGTAAAGTCACGTAGAAGGGAAATAATAAAATAATAAAAATAAACATAATAAAATACAATTCTCATGACGTTTCGGCCATAACGCAAGCAGCCGTCCTCAGATGAAGAACAGGTCTGTCGGAAAGACAGAGTCTCAGTCCTGTTATTCACCTGAGGATAGGTCTGTCGGAAAGACAGTGTCTCAGACCTGTTATTCAGCTGAGGACGGCTGCTTGCGTTGTGGCCGAAACGTCGTGAGAATTGTATTTTATAAGTTTTATTATTTTATTATTTCCCTTCCACGTGACTATACCGAAAGAACCAAGAAGAAGATACGAAAATGTTAGCAGCGTCAAACTGCGTTTCACCGAAATATTACTACTGCCAAACTAGATTCGAAGCTTTCGTGACTGCATGAATTACTCTCTGGTTCTTTCGGTAAATTCACGTAGAAATAAATAAAATAAAATAATAATAGAATACGACGTTTCGATTGCAACACAAGCAATCATCATAAGTTACAAATTAATGATGGTTGCTTGTGTTGCAATCGAAAAGTCGTAGTCTATTATTGTTTTATTTAATTTCTTTTTCCGTGACTTTACCGAAAGAACCAAATAGTATGCAAACAAACTTGGCGCTTCTTCTTGGATCTTTCGGTAAGGTCACGTAAAATGGAAATAATAAAATATTACAAATAAAACATAATAAAATAATTCTCACGACGTTTCGGCCTTCTCGACAGACCTGTTCTCCACCTGAGGACGGCTGCTTGCGTTGTGGCCGAAACGTCGTGAGAATTATTTTATTATGTTTTATTATTTTATTAGTTTTATTATTTACATTCTACGTGACTTTACCGAAAGAACCAAGAAGATGAATCCCTGCAGTCACGAAATCTTTAAATCGAAATGTAACCAAAGAGTATTACCCCTGTGTTGTGGAAAACAAACCCCATCACCCACAACCGTCTCGAGCCAAAACACTCGTTAGATGAAGCCGCGTTGTGCAAGGGTTTCTTACATATTTTTGTTTACCAAATGTTATCTCCGTGTCCCGTTATTAATATAAAGGGATTTCCCACAGAGTAGTGCAACATGTCTTGCTAGAGAACAATCCGTAGAACAGATATTTGTTTCATAATACAGCTAACTCTGAGATTTCTTCAAGCGATGTCTGCTGGTCTACACAGTTGGGAGCAGGACTTACCCAAATTGCTCTTGCACATGAAACAGCGCTTACCGCATGGCAATCAACCAGATACGTTTTATTTCTCAGAATTTTAATTTCGTCAATTAAGTGCGGAATTGCCGGAGGGGGGCTTAGTCCATCAACTCACTCGACTCGAGGACTCGGTTAACTCGCAGGCAAATCTCTGGACTTGAACCCATGCTTCTGAGTGGTACTCGTGTAGAGGTATTATTACACTGGTCGACAAAAAAAAACATTTTTTCTGGCCTAGACTTTTGCAGCTGTTTTAGACTAATTTCAGGGTGCTGATTCCAAATCTGATCTCAGATTTGCTCTATCACATCTCATCTTTATGCTATCGGCATACCCCATTTTCATTGATTTTACCCGAAATTAACTGTCACTTATGATTGCAAGTTGTTGCGAGTCAGTGATGATTGCTTTAGTGTTAAAGTATGGTGCTGTATTTTTAGGATCGTGTGTTTATAATATCATTTTATGTAGATATCCACATTTATTTAATATTTTTCTTCTGCAGTTTTTATTGAAAATGCAATATTTGATATCTCAAAACCCTGATGTGATAGACAAAAACTGATGCCAGATTTGGAATCAGCACCCCAAAATTACCTTAAAACCATTGGAATACCTTATGCCAAAAAAAGTGTGTTGACCAGTGTTATTATGCACTCGCCATGCTGTCAGCCGGTAGTATCCCAAACGTGTCAATAGGGGGCGGTAGTGTGACGGAGCCCAGTGTCAATGGACGATGGCCCAAAGGGCCAACGGTAACCCCGATGGGAAAACAAATCCTGGGACCGAGACCCCAGACCAGAGGTCGCAACCGGGTACCCGATACCCGTACCCTACCCGATAGCCGGGTACCCGTTTGCGACCCTGGTGCAGCCAGGTACGGGTACGGGTAGACCGTGAGTCACTGGTGAGTCACCATTTGTCAATCATTTCCCAACGTCTTGTCTCTTCTCACAATTCAAGTTCCTAGAATCAACCCACCCACGCCTGCAACATGGCTTCATCCCAGAGGTCGCAATCAGGTACCCGATACCTGTACCCTACCCGTACCCGGCCGGGTACGGGTAGGGTACGGGTACGGCCGGGTACGGGTACCCGTTTGTGACACTGGTGCGGCCGGGTACGGGTACGGGTAGGGTACGGGTACGGGTAAGGAATCAAAACCCATTTGCAACCTCTGCCCCAGACCCCGGGAAGGGGGTTGGGGGATGACGTCACCCTCCCAGGACCTGGTGGAAGATCCTGGAAGGAAGGCGTGGCTGGGGCGGAGCAAGCCACAGACTTGTATAAAAGCCGGACCTCTGAACGGTCCGGGCAGTCGTCGTCCACCCGAAGATAAATAATGATCACGACGTTTCGGCCAGAACGCAAGCAACCGTCCTCAGGTGAAGAACAGGTCTGTCGCGAAGACAGAGTCTGTCTTCTCGACAGACCTGTACGAAAAATGCAAATGAGAGACATGCGACCTGGCAGGATAAGTTGAACGACCCAAATGTCATACCCTACATGATACGTATCGCAACACAGACGACGATAATTAGTTAATGCACCGTATTGTAAAACTAAATAATTTCTCAAAAAACTTTGACCACCCCCATTTTCAGGCACAATGTAGATTGTACTAAATGGACATCGTCACGTGATTAAATGATATGTCATCTGTGTTGAACTGTGTAGGATCATTGAATAAATGGCTGCCCCGAAATGCAAAAAAAATAAGCGTTAGAATAGCCAGTGGGAGGCGTATCGGGTGTAAGGGGCCATTACCCCTTTATGTTAGGGATTATTTACATCATGCTAATCTCTCACATGAACATAGCCATTTCTGTGCCCTCGTCGAGGAGGCCGCTTTCCTATCTTACAGTTACATGTTAATTTCTCACATTAACATCACTAGCCCCGGCCACTTCTTTATGGTCCTTTGGCTACACCCATTTCAAACCCTTTACAACAGTCTGCCTCAGTAGCAGACCATAATTTCCCACCTCATGACGGGCGCTTGTGTTGAACCCAAAACGTCGTGATTTATATTATTTTCTACCTACGTGACTTTACCGAAAGAACCAAAGAGTATGGATTCCTGCAGTCACAAAAGCTTCACAATCAAGATTAGGGATTATTTGTAAATAAAAATGCGTGTTGCCTCAGAGCGACTCTCTTCTTGTTATTGACCCACTACACTAGTTCATCACTCTGACCTCTGAGTCACCTCATATCCGACGTTGTTTTAAGACTGCGTAGATGTCGTTGAGGAGCAGTCAATGGTCCTGATGTACATGGTGGTGATGAGATCGTAGCCAGTGGTTGAACCCAGTTCACCATGGCACTGGGCGCATGGCTCGAAAGTTTACATGTTGAGATCTATATGAGGTATATAGGATACTCTTAGTTTTTTCGGTAAAGTCACGTACGTAAAAAATGAAATTAAAATTATTTTAACTTTAATTCCAAAATTAAAAGAATTTTAATTTCATTTTTTACCTACGTGACTTTACCGAAAAAAACTAAGAGTATGAATCCTTGCAGTCACGAATGCTTCAAATCTAGAATTAGTCTATAGCATAGATGATCGAGTGGTGGGTGGTAATATAGACGTTTGAAGTAATTAACACAAACCTGATGGACTGTTGACAATTAGCTGTAGATACCCAATGTCGTGCTTGTTTTGTGGATAAACCGTGACCTTACAGCCATATCGCCCAGAGTTTTGAATCTTGATGTTGCTGACATTGATGGAGGCGTCACACTTGGTCGCATCACCCATCCAGGACGTCTGTAAAGGCCAGGAGCTGATATCTCCATTGGGGAATTTATAAATCTGTGGTCAACAAAGGCGAAAGCATGCACAGATCAAAGTTGTATGTATGTTGTATGTATGTTGTACGTGTGTTGTATGTGTGTTGTATGAATGTTGTATATAAGTTGTATGTGTGTTGTTTGTATGTTAAACTTCTTTGACACCAACAATGCCAATAGGAGGTGCGAGGGAAGGGCAACAAACCAAACACAAACATCAGTTTAAAAAAAATAGTTTTTCAATCTAGATCATGATTTAAAAGTGCCTCTCCAAGTCGAAAATAAACACAATGAGAGTGGCGCTGTGGTACGCAAAACAAACAGTGGAGAAGCAGCGGCTGACCCAGCAGGAAACAAGCAACGAAGGCACCGCAGCGGCACGAGCTGAGGAATCTGCAGAGCAGCGAGCATCAAGACAAGCCAGAGACTGCACAGTTACTGCTGCAGCACAGGCTGTGGAAACTACAGTGCAGCATGCATCAAGACAAGCCAGAGACCGCACAGTTATGGCTGCTGCAGAAGCACAGGCTCAGGAAAATCCTGAACTGCGTGATGTCCTCTTCTCCCACACCCACCCCAATGTGTGCATTTACTTCTATAGAGTCAGTATATACTTCTATAGAATCAATAGATACTACTATAGGGTCAGTAGATACTACTATTGTCATTATATGCTACTTGGAGTCACCAGATACTCCTTATGCTATTGTATGTAGGGTGTGTAGGTATATATGCCTACAAACTAAATACAATTTTGTGGGGTGAAGAATAAAACAAAATTGGGGAAGGAAACCATTTAGATTAAATATTTGCCCCACTTTCTGAAACTTTTTGATTCATGACTTCTGAAAGGCTCTTATAGTTTTGTGGACAGACAAACGGAATGCTGGGCGTTCATGATAGCTTAGTATTTGTGTATGTATAGATTATGTTTTGAAAGAGAAGATAAGATTTGATATATTTCCCCCCTGGCCAAAGCTGGGTACTTCCTGCTAGTGCTCTGATAAAATACGTGCAGTCCTTGAAACTGATTGGCCTACACCAGAGACAGCAGCCGTCTTCATGGCCTTGTCTCACCGCCGGTTTTAGACAAGAGAACAACGCCAAGAGGTAAACAGTACAAAGACAAAGCAAGTATCAGAGGATTTATAGCTCGGGTTTGAGCAGTTATACCTACGGGAACTTTTTTGCCGGTATCAAAGTGTAAGGAAGCTCCGACGAGACGCTCTTGAAGATGAAGGCACGATCTTTGTTTTCCTGTGTGCGGGAGGTTCACATCTCTCCTACGAGTACTGCCCTGTGGAGCCACAAACTCGTCTTCGTCCCAGGCAAGCGTCCCGACTGTTCGTGATCGTCCCCTTTCATATCTCCTCTCTCCCTGCCCTTAACTAGACAGTGCTTTCCTCTCCGCATGTTTAGTCATCCGGCCACCTGCTCTTAATTATCACAACCCATTCTACTTCTTGAATCCTAAACGTTTCTCTACATTAGTCCCCAACAGAAGTATGAAAATTAAGATTAGGTTTTACACTTTCTGGCAATAAAATAGGTGTTCACTAATATCACACTTGGGCACCGCACCCCTTAGTTCAGTGCACGCAGACCTCGCCAAACATTCCTGGGAAATGCCGGGTTGGGCAAAACCGCGTTCGACAAAGTAACAGACCTCATGGGAAAACTCTGGTTACCTTCCTGGATCCTGTATGAAAACCCTCCTCCCTTTTTGCTATGAATAATTCTGAACGATTTCTGCCATTTCGATTTGAAGCTTTTGTGACTGCAGGGATTCATCTTCTTGGTTCTTTCGGTAAAGTCACGTAGAAGGGAAAAAATAAAATAATAAAAATGAAACAAAATAAAATAAAAATTATTTTAAAAATTACTTATTATGTTTTATTTTTATTATTTGATTATTTCCATTCTACGTGACTTTACCGAAAGAACCAAGAAGATTTCTGCCATTGTTATGCTGAGTCACTCTCCACATCTTGTGTGCCATCATCATCATTGCGATCTACGGGCAGATGGCCCATAAGGTGTCGACTGCACATTTCGTCATTCATTTCCACTTTCCTGTGTCTTGTCGTGCCAATCTGCTCAAGTATTTGCCACGTCTTTCTGGCACCAAACTCTTCTTATGTCTCGATTTAAAGCTTTCGTGACTGCAGGGATTCATCTTCTTGGTTCTTTCGGTAAAGTCATCACGTAGAAGGGAAATAATAAAATAATAAAAATAAAACATAATAAAATAATTCTCACGACGTTTCGGCCACAACGCAAGCAGCCGTCCTCAAGGTGAAGAACAGGTCTGTCGGGAAGACAGCGTCTGAATGAAACACCTTCTACGTGACTTTACAGAAAGAACCAAGAAGATATTCTTATGTCGTCGTCAAGCCATTCTCCATTAGGTCTTAATCTCTATCTGGTTCCTTCCATTTTTCTGAGCGACAACACTTTGAATTTCCCTGTTGTTGTCCATCCTACAGATGTGTCCAAATAGTGCCAGTTTCCTTCTCATCAATGCCTGCATCATCAGGTTGTCTTCTTGCTGTGTGTGTACACTCTTGGGTTTTCAATATCGCCTCAACACAAAACCCCGGTCTCTATTACCCTTCCCATCGCCACGGCACTCACAATGATATTGGTCGCCAAAGCCTGCGTGTTAAACTGACTAACTTCTATGGGGAGAATACTTTTCTTCAAACCAGAAAATTGGAGAAACTCTGAACTAAGCCGATGAAGCTGTTGTCTTCACTGCCGTTCCTCTAAAGATGCAGAGATTACGTTGATTAACATTACCAGCTTTAAGTCAAGATATACCATGTAATTAACCCAGCCTGCAGTGGATACCCATTCTCATTTATATGCATTCATTAATAGCCCCCCCCCAACATCAAGAAGGGCTCACAAGTGATGCCATCACATCTACCCCTCTATTTAAGGAACTAAACAGGATGATTTCTCCACAAATATGGCTGTCTCCTGATGAAGCTAGTTGTAGTTACTACCAAAACATTGCGCTCAGATTGTAAGTGTAATAAAGGACTCGTTCATTGTGTCTGTCTCCGTTGTCCTTTATTCGGGTTCCTTTACACTTGTCCCACACGGCCCTCGCTCAGAGCCTCTCCGCTCGGCAGCTCGATGCTGCCTTCGCTCCCGTAGCCTCTCCCCACTCCGATGCAGCTCCACCGCTGCTGGTTTCCCCGTGCAGACCTCCGGCTGCCCTCACAGCAGCTCCCCCCGCTGCTGCTCGTCACTCCGTGCTCGGTCACCGCTGGCCGACGGTGCCGAGTCTCACTCCCTGTGTGGCGATCTCGCCACTCTCCGATCTCCGCCCTGCGTGGCCTCACTCTTTCCCAATCCCCAACTCTCTCCCGTCTCTTCCGGTTTCTCCCCCTTCAGACTTGATCCCTCTCTCCCACGTGACCTAACTCCTCCCCCCGTGACGTCATATCCGCGAGGCCGTTTACGCCCGCATTACATAAGTGTCGTGGCTTTGCTCTCCAACGCACAAGTGTGCTGTACTAGTGATAAATTGATATGTTCTGTTTATGTGACAATCCTTACTAATTGCATGCATCGGGTGGTGACGGGATTAATGACACATTTATATATTTACGCGATCTAACCCAAAACAACCTCTGTTACCGATCACCGCCCGTCTTCCGACAAACCGACGCATTCGAAAAAGGTGTGTTGGGCAAGGTTTCCCGCATTTCGATGTCCTACTCTGATAGAGAGATTTATAACTCACCGTTTCATCTTATTGGTTCTTTCGGTAAAGTCACGTAGAAGGGAGTGTCTGACACTGTCTTTCCGACAGACCTGTTCTTCACCTGAGGACGGCTGCTTGCGTTGTGACCGAAACGTCGTGAGAATTGTATTTTATTATGTTTTATTTTTATTGTTTAATTATTTCTCTTCTACGTGACTTTACCGAAAGAACCAAGAAGGTGAATCCATGCTGCAGTCACGCTAGCTTTAAATCGAAACTCACCGTTTCATCACGTCCATCTATGATCCTCAACCACTCCGCCAGTGTGTGAGTAACGCCGCTGATTGTACAGGTGTAGGAGCAGGGTAGGAGAATCGTGCTGCCTGCTACAGCGTTCATTTTCTCTGGGGTGACGACCATCAGCTCTAGGGAAACCACACACAGCGCCCACATTAGTACATCTCGTATGAAAAATGAGAATAGGTTTTACCCTTTCTGGCAATAAAACAGGTGTGTTGAGATGTTCAAACTCTGAATAGAAACCTTTTTCAGGAAATGTAGTACTGCAGTAACCACGCACAGTAGTTGTGGTGAACATGCAAACAAACATGGCGCTTCTTCTTGGTTCTTTCAGTAAAGTCACGTAGAAGGGAAATAATAAAAATAAAACATAACAATAATTCTCACGACGTTTCGGCCACAACACAAGCAGCCGTCCTCAGGTGAAGAACAGACCAGTTCTTCACCTGAGGACGGCTGCTTGCGTCGTGAGAATAATTTTATTATGTTTTATTTTTATTATTTTATTATTTCCCTTCTACGTGACTTTACCAAAAGAACCAAGAATATGAATCCCTGCAGTCATGAAAGCTTTAAATCGAAACATGGCGCTGATAATATATAAATTGTCTTTAATAATAATGTCACTATCATGTTACATGGCGTTGTCTTTGAAACTGATTGGCCTACACCAGAGACAGCGGCCTTCTTTGTGGCCTCGTCTCACGAGCAGCGTCATACCAGAGAACGCCAAAAGGCGAACAGCACAAAGACAATGCACGTATCAGAGCATTTATAGCTTGGGGTGAGCAGTTATATCACTTTAACACGTAGCAGGCTTTCGCGACCAATATTATTCATAATAAACGTTTTTGGGTTAGATCGCGTTATTTTTAAATGTGACGTAACCCTCCACCACCCGACAAGGCCAATCAGTAAAAAAAGTGTCAAGTTGACAAAAGACAAAATAGTTCACTACTTTGGCCCACTGGTGTGTTGAAGAGTGAATCCACAACATTTACAATATTCTTGGTTCTTTCGGTAAAGTCACGTAGAAGGGAAATAATAAAATAATATAAATAAAAAAACAATAAAAATTCTCACGACGTTTCGACTGCAACACAAGCAATCATCATCAGGTGTGCATTTCACACCTGATGATGATTGCTTGTGTTGAATTTGTATTGTTTTATATTAATATTATTTTATTTTTTCCCTTCTACGTGACTTTACCGAAAGAACCAAGACTATGAATCCCTGCAGTCACGAAAGCTTTAAATCAACATTTACAATTTTTTAGTACGACGTTTCGCTGGTAATTTCGCTGGTAGCTATATCACGTTCTGATGGCAATTGGATATCGGTGTTGATGAGATTGATAGCCAGGAGTTGAAGCCATGTATTTTTAATCCTTGTAGTGGCAACATGTCATGAGATACAGATTCCATTGGATCCCTCAAAGTGCAGTGTCACCTTTCGTGTTAAGAGTAGGCCCACGGAAGTAGATTTTTTTACTACTAAGTTTTTATCTTGATTTAAAGCTTTCGTGACTGCAGGGATTCATATTCTTGGTTCTTTCGGTAAAGTCATCACGTAGAAAGGAAATAATAAAATAATAAAAATATAAAACAATAAAAATTCTCACGACGTTTAGACTGCAACACAAGCAGCAATCATCATCAGGTGTGAAATCCACAGCAAGATGGACTTGTGCATCTGGTCAACTGCCAAATCGCTGTCTGTGGTGCTTACGTTAGGAAAAAACGCCACTTTTTTCAAATTTTCTTGCTGTGGATTTCACACCTGATGATGATTGCTTGTGTTGCAGTCGAAACGTCGTGAGCATGTTATTGTTTTATATTTGTATTATTTTATTAATTCCCTACTACGTGACTTTACCGAAAGAACCAATAATACTAAGCTTTTGTTAAATGTTATATCTGTCAGATGTTATACGTTGAATGTGTATTGTATATGATAAGCAGGCGTTATCATTATTGAGATTCGGGTGGACACTGTACATGGGGTTGAGCAGTGAGGTGGTGTGAATTGGGGTTGATTGGTGTGCATCTGGTCCTAATTGCAGATGCTCTTCAGAAGAACACTTTGAAATAAAGAGTTGCAAACTTGATTTGAAGCTTTCTTGATTGCAGGAATTACTTTTCGATTTAAAGCTTTCGTGACTGCAGGGATTCATCTTATTGGTTCTTTCGGTAAAGTCACGTAGAAGGGAAATAATAAAATAATAAAAATTAAACATAGAAGAAACATAGAAGAACAGGTCTGTCAGAAAGACAGCGTCTCATTCAAACGCTGTCTTTCCGACAGACCTGTTCTTCACCTGAGGACGGCTGCTTGCGTTGTGGGCGAAACGTCGTGAGAATGATTTTATCATGTTTGATTTTTTATAATTTTATTATTTCCCTTCTACGTGACTTTACCGAAAGAACCAAGAAGATGCAGGAATTACTCTTTGGTTCTTTCGGTAAATTCACGTGGAAGGAAAATTAATAAAATAATAGAGTACGACGTTTCGATTGCAACACAAGCAACCGTCATCAGGTAGAACTAAATTTGAGAGGGAGACGAAACGCAGACACGGAGACACACAGACAGACACACAAGCAGAGAGAGACAACACAGAGACACAGAGATAGACACAACATAGACACACAGAGACCCAATGCCTCTGTGGCGATGCCTTAAGTAGAGAGAGAGGGGGGGGGCTAGGCAGAGAGAGAGGTGGGTCTATCAATGAATCCACCCCGAAGTGACCGAGGGAAAAAAGATCGAATGGCGATCAAAAGAGTTGCAGTTACATAACCCTCTGGTTGTGCCTTGGTGGTGGAGTCATCCGATTATCTGAAGGAGGGCAGATCACAACGAAGTGTATCCGCTCATCCCCTCCGAAATCATCATCTACTACACTGGTCAACGAAAAAAGCATTTTTTTCTGGCCTGGACTTTTGCAGCTGTTCTAGACTAATTTCAGGGTGCTGATTCCAAATCTGATCTCAGATTTGCTCTATCACATCTCATTTTTATGCTATCGGCATACCCCATTTTCATTGATTTTACACGAAATTAACTCTGTCACTTATGATTGCAAGTTGTTGCGAGTCAGTGACTGTTTTAGTGTTAAAATATGGTGCTGTATTTTTAGGATAGTGTGTTTATAATATAATTTCATGTAGATATTCACATTTATTTAATATTTTTCATCTGCAGTTTTTATTGAAAATGCAATATTTGATATCTCAAAAACCTAATGTGATAGACAAAAACTGATGCCAGATTTGGAATCAGCACCCCAAAATTACCTTAAAACCGTTGGAATACCTTATACCAGAAAAAGTGTGTTGACCAGTGTTATTAATGGGGGGGGGGGGGGGGGGGGCTCATTTGCAGTGACGTCACGTACGGATGTAGCACTGATAATTGTTTTTTTTTGTGCGCCTTTTGGCGTCATCTGGTCCAACCCATGTGAGACTAGGCTCTAAGGAAAGCTGTCTCGGGTGTGGACCAATCAACTTCAAGGACAGTGCACATTATCAGAGTTATGTTCTTTTGTTTGTATTATGACTGCAGGTATTGCAGTCTATGCAAACATGACTCCTTGTAAAAAGGTGTCAGTTTTGTTGCCAGATAGAAGGGTAAAAAAACAATTATCATATTTTTACTGGTAAATGAGGTTGCCATAGTGGATATAGCACTGTTGCTGCGTAGATTTATTTGTTACCGTCACTTTCTGTAAAGAAACGTCGTCATATTCGACGCGACTTTGTGAATCGAAATGTCTTTCCGCGCGACCTTCTAACGCGTGAGTGTCAAAATCCACCCGATCATGATTATTTAATTATTAATTACGGGGGGGGGGGGGGGGGGGTGGCATGTGGAGTGACGTCACGCGCGTGGCGGACATTTCTGGGCTATTATAGTAGCAACGCGTTCCCATTGGCTCTGTAGCTATTGTCACTGCCCAGGTGATAATAAATTAGTGATGACGGTGGTGATGATGATGACGGTGGTGATGACGACGGTGGTGATGATGTTGCTGGTGATGATCACGGTGATGATGATGATGCTGGTGGTGATGATGATGATGATGTTGGTAGTGATGATGATGTTGATGGTGGTGATGATGATAACGGTGGTGATGATGACGGTCGTGATGATGACGGTGGTGATGATGACGGTGATGATGATGATGATGACGTTGGTGGTGATGACGGTGGTGATGATAACGACGACGATGATGATGATGATGATAGTGATGATGATGACGGTGATGATGACGATGGTGGTGATGATGATGATGTTGGTAGTGATGATGATGTTGATGGTGGTGATGATGACGGCGATGATGATGACGATGGTGGTGATGATGATGATGTTGGTAGTGATGATGATGTTGATGGTGGTGATGATGACGGTGATGATGATGACGATGGTGGTGATGATGATGGTGATGATGACGATGGTGGTGATGATGATGATGATGTTGGTAGTGATGATGATGTTGATGGTGGTGATGATGACGGTGATGATGATGACGATGGTAGTGATGATGATGTTGGTAGTGATGATGATGATGGTGATGATGATGACGGTGATGATGACGATGGTGGTGATGATGATGATGTTGGTAGTGATGATGATGTTGATGGTGGTGATGATGACGGTGGTGATGATGACGTTGGTGGTGATGACGGTGATGATGATGACGTTGGTGATGATGACGATGGTGATGATGACGTTGGTGGTGATGATGACTATAATGATGCAGAGTAGTAAGTTTCAATAATCGAGCCTTGTAGATACCACGCTACACACCAACGTGTTAGCTATGTCACAACTCAAGCAGTAGAGGGCAGTACGTTCCCATCTATTCCGCTACAGAGAGTCAGAGGTCGCAAACCGGTTTTGATTCCTTACCCGTACCCGGCCGCACCAGGGTCGCAAATGGGTACCCGTACCCGGCCGGATACCCGTACCCGGCCGGGTACGGGTATCCGTTCCCTACCCGTACCCTACCCGAAATGAGTGACAAACGGTTACTCACCAGTGACTCACGGCCTACCCATACCCGGCCGCACCAGGGTCGCAACCGGCTACCCGTACCCATACCCGGCCGGGTACAGGTAGCCGGGTATCGGGTAGGGTACGGGTATCAGGTACCCGGTTGCGACCTCTGCAGAGAGTTCATGTTACATGGCAGTCGCGCCGATGGATGTTTCGTCGTTCTACGAGCAAGAATTGAGGTGCTGCACCAACGATGATGTGACGGTGATTTTGTGCACTCGCTGTGCTGACTGGCCTAAGATCAATGCACTCGTGAATATGGCATTCATAGTTAGTTACAATAGTGATGTCAGGTTAATGAGAGATCGATGTCACCTTTTTGTCGTTAAGTAATGGATTGCTTTTACGAAAAATGAAACGGTCATTGAATGCTACTACGGTTGTTCTGTTGAGAATTACTTTTGTTAGATCACTAAATTAGCTTTCCTAGGCGGTCCATAGAAATTTTATGCCACTGCCCAGATAAGTAGTGATGATGATGAAGGTGGTGATGATGATGATGATGGGTGTGTTGATGGTGGCGGTGATGATGATGAAAGTGGTGATGATGTTCATAATGGTGGTGGTGATGATGATGGTTGTGATGATGATGGTGGTGGTTGTGATGGTGGTGATGATGATGGTGGTTGTGGTGATGATAATAATGGTGGTGATGATGGTGGTGGTGATGATGATGGGTTTGTTGATGGTGACGATGGTCATGATTATGGTAGTGGTGATGATGATGAAAGTGGTGATGATGTTCCTAATGGTTGTGGTGATGATAATGATGGGGGTGATGATGGTGGTGGTATTGATGATGGTGATGATGGTTGTGATGATGATGGTGGTGGTTGTAATGGTGGTGATGATGATGGTGATGGTGGTGATGATAATGATGGTGACAATGATGAAGATGGTGGTGATGGTGATGATGATGTTGGTGGTGATGATGGTGGTGGTGATGATGATGGTGATGATGGTGGTGATGGTCATGATGGTGGTGATGATGGTGGTGATGGTCATGATGGTGGTGATGAATTCGAGTTGACCACGACCTGGTATTGAACTCACCTTGGCGCTGCGCTTCGGACTCCAAGCCGTTCCCAACCCCCGCACTGCCAGCGAGCATCATTCCTGGGGATAAATCAGAATTTCAGAATCAGAATTAATTCACTCATCCTGGAGGTATCCGATGAGCTATGAGGCTCTATATCACAGATGATCCAGTTAGGGCCACGGAGTTAGAACGTTACACTGATGATGGTCGCATTAGGGGCGCCACGGTGGCTAGCAGATGTTAACTACCTCGCCTGGTATACCGGAGGTTGTGAGTTCGATCCCGGCCCTAATTCCACACTGGCTAAGATATGTTAACTACCTCGCCTGGTATACAGGAGGTCGTAGGTTCGATCCCGACCCCTGACGCCTGCTGTTGTATATTTGGAGTTTGCGTGTCTCTCTCTCTCATCATCATCACGGTGGCTAGGAGATGTTAACCACCTCGCCTGGTATACCGGAGGTTGTGGATTCGATCCTGGCCCTAAATCCACAGTGGCTAAGAGATGTTAACTACCTCGCCTGGAGGTCGTGGGTTCGATCCCGACCCCAGACGCCTGCTGTTGTATATTTGGAGTATGCGTGTCTCTCTCTCGTATCATCATCACGGTGGCTAGGATATGTTAACTACCTCGCCTGGTATACCGGAGGTTGTGAGTTCGATCCCGGCCCTAAATCCACACTGGCTAAGATATGTTAACTACCTCGCCTGGTATACAGGAGGTCGTGGGTTCGATCCCGACCCCAGACGCCTGCTGTTGTATATTTGGAGTGTGCGTGTCTCTCTCTCTCATCATCATCACGGTGGCTAGGAGATGTTAACCACCTCGCCTGGGACACAGGAGGTCGTGGGTTCGATCCCGACCCTGACGCCTGCTATTGTATATTTGGATTGTGCGTGTCTCTCTCTCTCATCATCATCATCACGGTGGCTATGAGATGTTAACTACCTCGCCTGGTATACCGGAGGTTGTGGGTTCGATCCCGGCCCTAAATCCACAGTGACTAAGAGATGTTAACCACCTCGCCTTGTATACAGGAGGTCGTGGGTTCGATCCCGACCCCAGACGCCTCTTATATATTTGGAGTTTGCGCGATTACCCCGTGGTCTCGTGGATTTGACTTTGGGTCCTCTGGTTTTCCCTCCACATTAAGAATCAACATCACGCGTTTAGAGTATTTAGCTGCTATACATTTCCACGTGATGATGATGATCAGTCGCTTCGTTGAGCTATCATTTGTGGCCAGGTTGCTTCTGACAAAGAGCTACATAGTTCAGTGGGCCTTACCTGGTCAAATAACAAAAGTGTTTTTTCGTTTTTCTTTCTTACCATACGTAGTCAACCATGCTCAGTGTGCATGTACGTTGAACTTCTTTCGCACCGTACGTAGCCAACCGTGCTAAGCGGAGGTGCGGTGGAACGACAACAAACGACCTTGTAGTTCACCATTGGAACCTCATTTGCCAGTAAAAATATATGATAATTGTTTTTTTACCCTTCTAAAGGTGCGCCTTTTGGCGTCATCTGGTCCAACACCATGTGAGACTAGGCTCTAAGGAAAGCTGTCTCGGGTGTGGACCAATCAACTTCAAGGACAGTGCATACATTATCAGAGTTATGTTTTTTGTTTGCATTATGACTGCAGGTATTGTGGTCTATGCAAACATGACTCCTTGTAAAAAAGGTGTCAGTTTTGTTGCCAGATAGAAGGGTAAAAAACAATTATCAACCTTGTAGTTGGCTAAACACAGTCCCGCAGATTTCATTTCATTTCGTTTAGTTTTTTAAGTTTTCATTTATTTGGTATCGCCCTGTGAGCCATTCGGCTCTTGAATCGGGTGCAACCGCAACAAACAAAAACAAAAACATGAACAAGAAACCATCTTAAAGTGAATATGTGACTATGTGCAAACAGAAAATCCAGGAAAAAACAGCAAGATGCCCAGTGACAGCCTGTCAAGTGTGATCGGTGCAGAACTCCCCAGACTCAAAAGCCCTGTTAATCAGCACAGACCTGACGAGTCCGTGGTTGTATTGTGCCATCGGTGTTGACGGTATGTGGGGTATGCGGGGTACGTGGAATGGAAACCGCAGAGTTGCCTGATGATGCTCTTTGTTGTTGTTGTTGTAATTACCTGCGATACGTCACGGAACTTGGATTGTAAATGTTGTAGTGGGCTTACTATCCAACACTACACTATACACTACACTATACACTACACTATACTACTATACACTACACTATACTACTATACACTACATTACTATACACTATACTATACACTACATTACTATACACTACACTATACACTACACTATACACTACACTATACTACTATACACTAGATTACTATACACTATACTATACACTACATTACTATACACTACACTACTATACACTACACTATACACTACTATACACTACACTACTATACACACTACACTATACACTACTATACACTACACTACTATACACTACACTATACACTACTATACACTACACTACTATACACACTACACTATACACTACTATACACTACACTACTATACACTACACTACTATACACTACACTATACACTACACTCTACACTACTATACACTACACTACTATACACACTACACTATACACTACTATACACTACACTACTATACACTACACTACTATACACTAAACTACACACTACACTACTATACACTACACAATACACTACTATACACACTACACTACTATACACTACACTACTATACACTACACTACATACTACACTACACTACTATACACTACACTACTATACACTAGACTACTATACACTACACTATACACTAAACTACACACTACACTACTATACACTACACTATACACTACACTACTATACACTACATTACTATACACTACACTATAAGTGTAAATGTTGTAATGGGCTTACTATCCAACACACAACAACCAGTGAGTGCTGTGCGAGTATAAAACAATATACACTACACTATACACTACACTACTATACACTACTATACACTACACTACTATACACTACACTTTACACTAGACAACTACACACTACACTACTGCACACTACACTGCTACACACTACACTAATATACACTAAACTACACTACACACTACACTGCTACATACTACACTACTATACACTAAACTACACACTACACTACTATACACTAAACTACACACTACACTACTATACACTACACTCTACACTACACTACTATACACTACACTACTATACACCACACTATACACCACACTACTATACACTACACTATACACTACACTACTATACACTACACTACTATACACTACACTACTATACACTACACTACTATACACTACACTACTATACACTACACTATACACTACACTACTATACACTACACTACTATACACTACACTATACACTACACTATACACTACACTATACACTACTATACACTACACTGCTACAAACTACACTACTATACACTACACTACTATACACTACACTGCTACAAACTACACTACTATACAATAAACTACACACTACACTACTATACACTACACTATACACTATACTACTATACACTACTATACACCACACTACTATACACTACACTATACTATACACTACACTACTATACACTACACTATACACTACACTACTATACGCTGCACTACTATACACTACTATACACTACACTACTATACAATACTACACTACTATTGTAAATGCTGTAGTGGACTGACTCTCCAACACATCAGTTGAACTCGTAACGAATTGGCAGGTTTTGTATACGTGACAAACCTCACCCATTGGCTGTGTCGGTTCAAAGTGGCGAGTGTAACCCCAACACAACATTGATATTTACTCGATCTAAGCCAACACAAACCTCCGCTGTGGATAATATTGCTCGCGAAAGGCTCCTCCTGCTACGAGGAACAGTGTATTTAATTAAGTAGAACGTGTTGTCTATATTTATTTGAAGTTGCGTATTTTGATGTGACGTCACACACCCCCCCCCTCGTCACACATCGTCACAAATGTCTGACACCCCCCCCCCCCGGTGCGTGACGTCATTAATGGACGTCCCCTTTGTCTTTGTTGCACTTCTTTCTCGGCCATTGTGAACCTTCACAGGTAACAGACGCTCAGGATCTCAGCCTTGCTGACTCAGTGTGTCCGTGACACGGCCATTGTGAAGGTCTTTCAAGCCACATCTACTGCGAAACCCCGTCAACGCACGACGTCTGTTGTTTGTTGTTGTTCTAAGGGAGCCGAGATGACATTTCACAGCCAGGTAGCCCAGCCCGCTATAGTGCATCGTATAGGCATTTGTCAGTTAACATAACGAGTTAAGTGTGGACGGGAAACCCCCAGAACGAACATTGCCATCTCGAGTCTCGCTTAGGCAAGTCACGAAAACACAAACAGACAGCGGCCACACGCAGGTGGCGAGGAGATGCAATCTCCTTCGCCTGGTATGCAGGAGGTCGTGGATTCGATGCCAGATCCTGGCCATGTCTGCTGCTGCTGCTGTATGTTGCAAGTCTGCGTCTCTCTCCTCATTGTGGTCGCTGCGTGGATTTTTCACTCCGGGTCAGAGGTCGCAAGCGGGTACCCGATACCCGTACCATACCCGATACCCAGCTACCCGTACCCGGCCGGGTACGGGTACGGGAATCCGTTTGCGACCCTGATGCGGCCGAGTACGGGTACGGGTAAGCCGTGAGTCACTGGTGAGTCACCGTTTGTCACTCATTTCCAAATGTATTGTCTCTTCTCACAATTCAAGTTCCTAGAATCAACCCACCCGCGCCTGCAACATGGCTTCATCCCAGAGGTTGCAATCGGGTACCTGATACCCATACCCTACCCGATACCCGGCCGGGTACGGGTAGCCGGGTATCGGGTAGGGTACGGGTACGGGTACCCGTTTTCGACCCTGGTGCGGCCGGGTACGGGTACGGGTAAGGAATCAAAACCCGTTTGCGACCTCTGCTCCGGGTCCTCCGGTTTTTCCCTCCACATTTAGAATCTACGTCACCACGCGTTTAGGCTATTTGTCTGCTGCTATCGATGTCT